AGCATGAACCTCTAGGAAACTACAGACAGTAATGCACTAGAGGACATTTCAGTAACAATCCAAGATCAATCCACAGTGAAATCATACCTTATATTGATGGTGAAAAGTCTTTGCATCTTCTCAAGAAAATCTCATAACTTATCAGAGAGTTAAAGAATACACCTCTTAAACCACCCTCATTCTTTCCTTAGTATAGTAAGAAAGCTTCACTACTGTCCACTGACTTTATTCAGTGTCATCAAGAATAAAACAAATAGTTATGGGAAGAAAAATCTACCATGTGCCATGGAGTTGCTTCAGTTCAGCACAGAATACAGCAAAATGGGAACTCTGGAACTGGTTGTGGCCAATGACACAGTCTAACATTCAGACAGATATACATAACTCTCAAAATAAATGTGCATTATGCCCTTTATAGCAATCCCATTTTATTTTTGCATATTTTATTGAGATGTCTGGTTTAGGAGCTTAGTCTTTGCTGATTAAGAAATTTCAGATAAGAAGGATAGCCATCCAGAGGGAGATACAGAATTGGGCTGAACAGTGCTTAAGAGATGCATTAATTTTTAATCTGAAGCCCCAAAATATAACCACACTCCAAATGAATTAAAAGAAAAGTTTTGATACGGCCCTAATTCTGAGAGAAGAAAGAGTAGAGAATTAAGTGCCCCTAAACATGTTTTAGTACCCAAAGCAGTATGGGGTGGACCTCATGAGAATGTGTCACTAGATGAATTCATCAGGGATGAGCAAAAAGCAGGCTTTTAGAAATCAAGAAATGACAGAGCTGCTGGTCTGTCCAGAGCCCTTTCATCTAAAATGTCATGAACAGAAGGGCAGCTCCAGTCATCGCCACCAGATCCTAACACAGCTCAAACATTGTAATGATAGGCACTATTATCATGAAGGGTGTGAGAAAGTAATCCTGTTTCTCTGTGACTTTAGACTTGAGCCACCAGAATATCCAGATAGCAAAATTAGCTGCCCTTTATGTTGTTCCTTTTATGGGTGTTTTTAAGTCTGACATTTCTGCTCTCAGGTTTCCTGGTACTCAGCTGTTCTGCTTCAGATACCCTGAGCTTCATTTCTGCAGTTTTGATGTCTTTTAAGACATCACATTTCCTGTAGAAGTGAGGTCAAAAGTTTATTATCTGATTCAACAGTTTTGTAGTTACAAGAATCCTTATATTCTGCTTTTTATTTTTTTTTTTGTTTCTGGTACATTAAATTATCAGCTAGGTAGGCAAGTAGGTAGGTAGTATTTTACATGACCTCTGTGTTTACCCAAGCTTCTGACTGCCAGAAATTTTCCACAATGGTAGAAAGAAATTTTTCTGCTGATCATTTAAAAAATGCAATTTATAAAAATAAAGTTCAACTTCTATCACTTGTGCATCAGCATACTAATTGTGTACCATCATACTACTCAATGCTTCTGGGTTTAGTAAAAGTATCTTTGGAGTGTGATAGGATAGCATGAAAATCTTGAGGTCAGTGGAACTACTTTGGTTTAAAATCCTCCAGTCAAATGCAATGTAATGGGACTGAGCACAGGTACCCCTGAACAGTGACTGAAGTTCACAATTCACTATCCAAACACAGTTCTTTGCAGGGCCTTACAGGAAGCTAATGCACAAGTTATATTAAAAACAGCACCATTAAATAAATGGCTTTGTTTTGAATGCCTGCACTTTGCTCCCCAGGAACAAACATTGCAGCTTGTGCAATCTATTCTCATTACTGCTAGTCTTGTTTCAATACAGAGTAAGAGAAGCATATTACTTAATGACAGGATTTTCAACAGTGCCTAAATCCCAATGATTTAAATAAGAAAGCTGCAAGTAAATCTTTCCTCTGTTACAGCTGCCAGCCACTGTAGAGACGCTGGCTGCTAAAATCTGCCATGCCCTGGGAGTGACTGAAACAAAGTATCTACTGTTGGCCACTCAATCCTTTGCAAAATCATGTATGCCTGACTGCAGAGACATGCAAGAGGCACAGAAAAGAGTATCTCCCAAGCACATGAGAGAAAGGAAGAGCCTGCAAGGACGACAGCAATTACCTTCAACACACAGGCTTCGGCTATCTGCCAGTATTTGCAATCAGGTGTGTCAAAGAGATGATCAGCTTTCAGTGCCAACACAGCTGCAGCTCTCTTTGAACCCCTGATTTTCCTATTACACAACTCATTTGTGTCTTTGTTTACCTCTTCTCCCCCCAAAAACAAAACTAAAGGGTTACAGGTTTAGCACATGTGACGCTAGGAGAGCCTTTTGGTAAAGCAACAGGAACAACTCCATGGGGATCTGCATTCAAAAGGGACCTCCTGGCAGCACACAACCATGCCTTTCCCCCATCACATGCCCAAAGCCATTGCCAGACAATGCTTATTTAATACCTAATGTTTAAAATACATTCACCAAATTAATCAATGTCTTTTATATGGTGGTTGCTAGCTACAAAAATTAACGTCCATTAAAAATACCCAGCTAACCTCTGTGGACTAATAGCTTGTAAAAGCCCTCATCCTGAATATCTCGGATGAAATTAAAAGGACCTCTACATATAAAGCGTTGCAAATTTCCTTCCTTACCAACATCAAGAGCTGAAAGTTATCATCTACTATGCACAGACAGGCAAGTTAGGGATCTCTGAGTTTACCTGGTATTATGGAAGCCAAGACTTGCTTTCATGTGGTAAATTCTCAGGGCAATAAGGAACAAACTCAGTAAATGCTGGGTTATATACTGACAGAGACAGGAAAATAATTGAAAAGATACTTGCTACTCTGAGTTTTGTATGAGGAAAAGAATTGAAAAGATACTTGCTACTCTGAGTTTTGTATGGAACACCTTTCTTGGCTGAAAAACAGATTTACTTTCTTTATTAATTTTGTGAGTAGGAAAGAAGGAATGGAGTTGGAAGTTACCATGCTGGTTTTCAGATCCTGCTCTGGACACCAAAACATCCCAATTTAACTCTGAGAAGAAAGAAACACTGTTTATAGAAATACTAAGTAGTTCTTACATTGCGCTGTAATGGTATGAAAGACCAGTTCACAGATAAGTCACCTGAAACGTGAGGGGATAAGGATCACAGGACTGAATACAGCCAAGAGTCACAGGTTTTCTTCTCAACTTCTGCTAAGAGTTTGATGCATCTCAACAGATAATTCTTTCATGGAAGATTTTGAAAAAAATCAATGGAAAAATACCCTAGATATTAAAAATAGTATTGATAAGGTTTTCATCCTAACTATAAATTATTTATTTTCTTAATTTTGCTTTTTTATCTGTGGAATATAGAAAGCCTAATATAGCATGCTTCCTAAATTATGAAGGTAAAACCCCTAACTTTTGCAGAAAACTATACCATCAACTTATTTTTTTATCCAAATTTCCAGCTAATTTGTTTCTATAAAAGTGAAAATATAAAAAATATATTCAGCTTGACAATAAAATTCATTATTTACAGCACTTATCTGTAGTAAACTTCATATAAGAGTATTGATGCAAAATTGTATTTTCAGCAGCAAGCAGCAAAAGTTCTTCAGCTTGCCCTAAAAGGCACTTTTTTGGTATCCATTCTGTTTTATGAAAGTAATTGTAAAAAGAAATAGTATCAGGCATACACTCAAAACAAACACGATGCAAACCCATTATTAGATAACGATTGACTCTCTTTTCCTTTTCTATAATGTAGCAAAAATTTGGTCATGGTGAATAATTTTTACTGTTTCTTCACAACCAGAAAGGATATGTTAGTTTCTTTAACCTTAGGTCTCTCAAAATTGCTGTCATATCACACACTTAATTTAATGCCAAATCTTTATAAACACTGCCTGCACTTCTACTCTGAATTCACAAGCATACAAAATACAATTAGAAATGTTTTTCTATTAGAACAACAATCCAGCATTGTAATTGACCACAAGAATCCAGACTTTCGGAGATTTACTATCAGATGCATGTTTAAATATATCTTACTCCTCTCCAAAAGCAATACACTGCAGTGACGAAGATTGCACTGTTTTCAGTATTGCACTGTCTTTGTTGAGTACTAGAGGTCAATCTCAATAATATGTCTCAATATATTAAATATACTCCACTACTGGTATAAAAAACCCCTATAAACAAGCATACTATAATATTCACATGAGGGGACATGTCAGGGAGAACACTGAAAAAGCACTTATTATTCACTATAGATAAAACAAGGAGAGTAATCTCATGTGCAGTGCATATATTAAGATAAACATAAATGTCTTCATTTCATATATATATATATATATATCAAAGACCTGCTTATGAAACAGCTAGTATGAATAAAAAAAAAATAACTGCTATTCATTTTATTCACCTGTACCATGAAAATATGCATTTTCTTTGTCCAGAAATTAGCTAAGAAGAAAAATGCTTCTAGAAAGGAATTTAGCTTTTTGTCTGTAACCAGAAGGTTCTGCTGGGAGCAATAAAACTCATTTACACTAGTGAAGGTCCACATAATTTTGTTGAGGAATAAAATAAAATAAAATTCTTCTATGGATCTGGGTAAGCTGATATTCTCTTCATGTTCCAAAGATAATTAGAAAAAAATGTCATGAAAGCAGAGAGGGCAAGACGGATAATCAAAAAGCCTTCTGAAAAGAGTAAGAATTCAGAAACTCCACATTGAACAGCACCTTAAATGAAAGCCAAAGGTCTGAGTAAAGGAACTTTAGAGGTAGGGTATGTGCTGCCACATATTATCTTTGTGTCTCTTTAGAAGGTAAGGAGACATCCCTGCAGTAATCAAAGGAAGCAAACCACAACTCCTTGAAGTCCTCTATATTTCAGGAAGAGCCATAACCATGAATTCAGGTTCTACCAGCCTAAATGAACTCCATTTCAGTATTTGACAGGTCAACCAGCTAGCAAATCCACAAGGTCAGATGCCACTTAAGATACAAGAGAGGTAGAACACCAAGTTTAAAATGGACATCTTTTAATTTTGTTATCTACCTTTCGGTCCCTTGAACAACTTGATCTCTACGACGGTCTCCAGTATAGGTCTTCTTCGCCGAACGTACAAGCGCACTATGGAACCAGCCTCCTTCAGGGCCTCCACGGCTTTGCTGTGTGACACTTCTGACACGTCAACCTCGTTCACTCGCAAGATGCAATCGTTGACCCTGCAAGGAAAACAAAGAACCATAGGTACTAAATGCTTCAGCTGTTACTTTGTACCAAACAATGTTTTGTCAGCAGTGCTGTAGAATGAAGAATATTTCACTGGGCATCACGGAATTGTGGAATATGATGAGCTGGAAGGATCATCAAGTCCAAGTGTGCCAGATGACAGACTTAATGCAATATGCTTCACAAGCAATGAGACAGAGCCTCAGTCTTTCCAAAAGGCATACCTGATTCAAACTGGAGTCCACCCAATCACTCACATTTGACTACACAATGTAATTGATTTAAAACACTCATGCTGCATGCTATTTCTACAGACCATAATAAGGACAACTATGGTTGCTCTTAAGGAAATCTCATAGTGTGATACAAAAGCTGTCATAGTAAAAATGCTGTCCTACAAAAAGCAGACAATTTAGAAGAGAATGCTTGATGCTAAATAATTTACTCAAGTTAAATTCTTTATGTTTTCAAGACTGACTGTAAACTACAAGATCTGCTGTATGGTAATCACGTTTTTTTTATTAGAATACAAACAAAATTCCCTCATAGTCTTACTTTGAGCATTTACTACATCTGAAGATGAACATATAATCACCCTCAATATCCTGGTTAGATTGAGCTGCATTCTCCTTATCTGAAAGACTTGTCCTAGTTGGAAAGGAAACCTACAACTTTCAAGCAGTAAAATCCATCTCCAAGCAGCAGGCTGATGACTTAACTACTAGGCCATCCTTTCTTTGCAAATGAGGACAAGTGAAAAGAGCAAATTCCAAAGAACTAGATTAATTGAGATTGTATTGCTCTTGTGCAGTACATTTTTTGTGAGATGCCTCTAAGTATTTTGGGTACAGAAGAAAAAGGCATATTGTAAATGAATGTGTTCTTCTGCATGTCTGAAAGGACAATCAGCAAAGCAAATATGGGTTGCTAAAAATATTCCTATTTCTGCTTTGTTTCTATACATAAAAATCAACTATCAAATGTTACTCTTTACAGCAAAAGAACACTTGATCTGGGTATTGGTCAGGAGTCATAACACATGGAGGGAGAATGAAACTTTACCTAAGTTTATAAAAACTCTGAGAACTTAGGATGGTTTTTGTCATATTCTTGTGCTGATGCATTTGTTTAAAACAAACCCAAATCAAAATGACAAAAAGAACAGTTATTTGAAACTGGTTAAACTTGGAAGTGACACAAAGCTGATGCTTCCCTTCTGAGAAAAAGTACTATATCACAAGGTTTTCAGATATCATCCAAAGGTCTGGTTTGGTGGTTTACTCCAATGCCAGAAGTTTCCATGGTTGGGAAGGGCTTTAAGCAACCTGGTGTGATGGAAAGTGTCAGTGCCCAAGGCTGGGAATGATGGAACTGAAGGATCTTTAAGGTCCCTTCCAACCCAAAACAAGCTATGCTTATGTGATTCTGTGCCTTTCCATACCTGTAGGCTTTTTTCTCCCTCATTAGGAGGTTAATTTTTCATTTTTTTAATAAATAAATAAAATATTTAAGAACATACATGCACATGCTGAAACAATATAAACCTAAAAGGGTAATAGCAAAAACAGTCAAGCCCCGTTTAAGAGAATTCTTTCAGATTATTAAGTGCATGGTCTTATCCCTTAGGGATAAAATTATTCTGCCCTTGCAAGCAGCCTTCAATGCGTTTTTCTGGCTTTACAGTCACATGCCAAGTACGTGGCAAAATTTTATTTTTGTGATTTCTTTTCCCACTTATGGGTGGATATGCCCTATACCTCTAAGTTAGTTTCAGATGGTGACAGGCCTGTGCCCAGGGGAAGATCTGACTTATAATCCAAGATAGCACAAGTCCAACAGAAGAGATCCTAGCAGTTTCACCAGTACATACAGTAATTGCATTGTTATATAATCTTGCAATCAGAGAAAGGTTTGGGCTGGGAGGGACCTCATACAACTCGGCTTTTTGGGCTGTCAGTGCACATTACCAGGTCATGTTGACTTCTCATCTATCAATATCTCCAAGTTGTTCTCCTCAGGTCTGCTCTTAAATATTATGCATACACCTGAATTTATTCAGGTCCGTAGAATCCCCCACACAGGTAACAAATTAGAATGAGTTAGGCAGCTTTTCATACGGCACACTGGCTCATCTAAGTTTGTTAACATAATGGACATATTCTACAGAATTTTGTAGTATAAATTTGGTATAAAGGACCCAGATGGTTAAATATAGAACACATCCAAACCAGTTACAACTGATAAAAACTATAAGAGATCCTTTGTTGTTAAGGGGAAAAGTCAGGGACTCAGGTTTACTGATACTGGTTGCTATCTTCAAAGCTGGTAAGGGCTTGTATTAAGGAAAAGTCCCCTACTTTTAAGGGCTTAAACTTCACTATATTCATCTGAGTTTTACTGTTTTCAAGAAACTGTGCAGACATCCTTGAGAAGCTGATAAATGATTCAGTCAACTTGCAAGTGAAGAAGACAAGTACAATCCCTAGGCACTTACTGGACAAATAGTAGGTGACAACTGGTAATGATCATTCTGTTCCCTTATTCTGTGCAATATGGTGCCTTGGAGGGAAACCCAAAGCAGCATAGCGTGGCAGCTAAGAGCCTCAGAATACCAAATGGTCCTGCCAACACACATTAGCCCACTTGCAGCTCCATAACAAAGCTAACTGGAACTAACTATAGAATCAAGAACAAGGGAATCATCTGTACTCCGTGGATCAACACCATGACACTAAATCCTGTAGCAATCCACAGGTCCTAGTTATCATCCAGATACCTCCAGCTAAGTCATATTAGTGGGAAAAGGCTGCTTTTCAAAAGTAGAGTTACCATGCTTTCCATTGCAGAATGGCCACCATTCGTAGATTCTTTCTAACCAAAGATAACTGCTTTGTTTTTTTAGTGTCTCCTCAGAAAAACTCAAATTGATATGGACTTTGTTTATTCTTCAATCAGGAAATAGAAATAAAGGTAAAAATAGTTATAATGGGAGAATGAGTGCAAAACTATGGAATATATCAGGTAGATATAAACCTCCATATATCATTATGGAGATATCAGGCTACAAAAGTAAGACAAAGGATCACTGAACTTTATCCTTTGCTCCTTTGTCTAACCTTTTTAGCCTAAGTTTCCCTACAAAACTCTTGATATTTTCTTTCTTCCAGAATTCACAAGAGCACAGCACCTTAAGCAAGAACACAAGATTTTAGGTTGCAAGCTGAAAGGATGATGATGACAATTATTATTATTATTATTATATTTTCTTCAATAGGTTAGCAAATAATTATAATTACATTATTTGACCCTAAGAGAATATGTCTAGTCCATTAGTTAAAGAATGACTGCCCCCTATTTATTTTTTTTTAGTTCTATACGTACCCTTTCTATGCCATAATAACTAGAATTCACAGCACATGAGGTAAAAAATGTACATACTGATACTGAATCATATAACTCCCTTCCAAGAGGAATTTTTTTTTTTGTTTAAATTTCCACTAAGAATTCAGAATAAAGGCTATCACATTTACTACAACAGTCCTCAGATCTGTCTTTAAAATCACAGAATACAGAGCTAACACTAAATGCCAATGACGTGTATGCACCTTAGGGCATAGTTTCCTTATGTATAATGATCCTTAGAGACATGATCTAATTTCTGTAGCAAATTCATGTATACTCTTAGACCCCTTCCTGACATTGTAAAGTAGTGTAAAACTACTTTGATGTCTATTTCAAAAATAAAGAGATAAAACTTATCAGCGGAAGAAAATTCCTGTCTGTCTCTGGAAGATGGAGGGGAACTAGTGCTTATGAAAATGTCTGATGAGGGTAACAGCCAATCCTAATTCAAAATTTGACACTTATGTGATTTATAATGAAATTCTAAATATCTCATGGCTACTACTGAAAACACTACTTGATAAAACTTATGATGGTGGGGAGGGATTTGTACCTTACAAATGACACAGCTGAATTAGAACTGAACTTAGTAATAATTTGAAATCCTAGGATTGATTTTGAAAGAAACATGTGGAGATACTGGTGCAATAAAATAGTAAACCCAACTGTATTTAACATGAAGGCACTATTTGAAGTATTGAATGTAACCTACGCTTCTAACAAGAACAGCATTATCTTTCTTTCTGAGGAAAATAAATAAGGAATAAACCCATAGTGTTTCATTTCTGAGAGAAAAACATCATCCTTCAAACCTCCAAATCAATGGCATTAATCTATTGCAATTAATTAAATTCAATAAAATATAAGCATTTCCCCAGTAATGCTGGCCTGGTTCCATCCCAACTCTTCATGTGCAAACTCTACCAGGTTCTTCTTTCATAGTCTGAAAATGTAGGATTAAAACCTCACCTGCATACCACTTCCTTTGTCTCCTGTTTACAGTCTAAATAAGCTTTCCAGAGGAGAGTCTACACCTTCTTGGCTCATCTCAAACAGGGACTAGCCCTCATTGCAGCCCCCAGGCATACTCAGCACAAACACTGGATAACCAAAGCAGTCTCCTGCCTGTTCCTGGCTGCACTCGCCCTTGCAGCAAGTCTTCAGAAGCAAGAGTTGAAAGGCAAACACCTCAACCGAGCACAAAGGCAGCTGTGTGTGTGTGTGTGTGTGTGCAGAGACAGGAACTAACTCTCGCACAGCATTTGCTTAAGTAGATTCACCTGGGCAGATGGTTTCTCCCCTTGCACTGGCAAACCAGTTTCAGTGTGTTGGCCCTGGGAGCCCAAAGGTTGGTGCATGGCTGAGCTAACAAGTCTTGCTGAAAAGCAGGGTGTGCTTGCGCAAGCCTAATGCAGTGCTTCTGCAGCCTCACAACTCCTATCAGCAACTGGAACAATTATCATCCCAGAGACTGAAATTAAAAAAAAAAAAAAAGTCTTATAAAATGTTTCTCACTTAAGTATATGTGCAATATAATGGAAACCCAGTCTGTCCTACAGCAAACCACCTGCATTCAACACACAGCCTCCAA